GAGATCTCTCAGAGAGCTGAGCAGGGATCCAGTAGCATCTAGATACTTGTAAGTCTTGCAGCTCTGCAAAAAGAGGTAGAGAAAGCAGGGGCAGAGCTGAAGGTGCCCAAGCCTGGAGTGGCTGGGAGTGGACAAGCTGAAGAGCCCTATGGTAGCAGAGGTCTCCAATTTCAGTGCCAAAAAAGGTACAGGTCTCTTCACTGTTGTAACTGCAGAGATAAGGAGTGAGTGCAAGTGTGAGGAGCATAACCAGAGGAGGAGAGGCTGCTGTGCAGCCTGAGGACACAAAAATTGTGCTTTCATCCCAGAGATAACCTGGCTTAGCTGAGAAGTGAGGACAGCACACCAGGCAATTCAGAAACCCTTTTGTGCCTCATCATGGGGCAGGAGAGGTGGGCCTGATGGCCATTGGGCTGTTGGCCTCGATTTTCATGGGACTGCATGGCCTCTTTCAGCATCCACCATGGTCCAAGATAGTGCAAATCTGTATTTCTGCACTTTGGTAGGTGAATACAAAGCACATACAGCTTTGTCAGATGTTTAAGGTTTTCCCCTACCAAATCTGTATACAGGAATCTCAAAAGTTCAGGTGCTGTTGAGAGAAGCCATGACCCAGGCCTGTCCTGAATATTGGGACCTCACCCTTTGCTCCTCAGCTCGCAAGGGCTGGAGGATGGTGTGATGGGCTCTGCCCAGGGCTAGAGCAAGGCACAGTGACACAGGCTCAGTCCCGGCTCATTGTCCCAGTGTTTGCACTGCCTCAAGGCTGGGAGCACCTCAGAGCAGGGGAGAGCCAGCTGGTCAGCTCGGTGCCACTCCATAACCATGGAGCTGGTCATAGCCACGCCACAGCACTGTGGCAGGGCAGACAGGCTCCAAATTGTAGCCAAGGCAGCAGATGGCCATGATGAGCAGGTAGGGGAGCACAAGACTGCAGCACTAGTCCCATTACAGGAGCTGTCAGTTTGGGCATTTCCATCTGCCCTAGAACAATCCCTTTCCAGTTTCCGAGGCAGGGTGTCTGGTGCTGTGCCAGCCTCCTGCTTGGGCCCTGCCCAGCCTCCTGGAAGAGGAACATGGAAAATGCTTTGACATTCCCATGGTTGCCAGGTCTCATGCAGACATGTGTGGTGTTGGGTTTGGGCTGACATGGCAGCACGGCTTTGAGCACAAGGACACACTGGCCACCTCATCTGCACCAGTGGTGAGACAGAATTGTTAACCCAGCTGGTCAGCAAGCAGGTACATCTTTGTCCAGAGGACACCATGAGGCTGCCCCTACAGAGCCCTCCTTGCTGCCAGGAGCGTGGCATGACAAAACAGGGGGCAGGGGTCAGAGCACAGCCCCAACTGTGCCTTCCACTTTCCCTGCTCGGAGTGGCAGGAAATACCCTCTCACCCACAAGCAAACTTGTCCCTGTTCTGCAAAGGCCACCTGCAAGACTGGCTGAGGGAGGTACGGGTGGGGGAATGTTCTTCCCAGGGAACCCATTAAGATGGTTTTCAAAATCTAGGGCTTTGGTGTGTGACTGAAAACCTAAAGGCATCGTTTTTTAATGGATGTTCTGTTAAACGTCCACCTAGGACAGGGGCTAGAAAGGGGCCTATGTTGACATTAATCAAGAGCAAATTCCTGGCATTCCCATGGGGACTCTCTCTTCCAGTTCCTGTGACATGACTTCAGATCTCCACAGGAGTAAATCAGAGCGAATTTGGCCAATCTTATCCAAAGATAGTTTTTCTTGACAGGTTTCATTACATAAAGTATTTAATGGGTTAAATCACTAAAATGCAATCTCATCACAATACTGTGAGGTCAAACCACTGTCTTGGTCCCTTGGGAGGAGAGAGAGAGTCTTTGTCTTGTGACACTTGTTTAATTTTGGAGCCCACAGGACCTCTGCTGGGGAAAACATCTGCTCTGCTGCAGTGGGGACAAATTTGCATGGATTCATTGCATCAGCTTTCTTCTTGGGAAGGAGAAATCTCCAAACTTCTCTCCCCCGGGGCATTTCCAGAGCCCGGAGGGAGGGAATTCCCCCTTCTGCCTACTCTCACCCGCCTTCTCATGTCTATTTCTATGTCCAACCGTGAGTGAACCCTCCGCTGCTTCTTTGCCAAACCGGTTACGTTTAAAAAGCCAAAGTGATCCGTCTGGAAGAGAGAGTCAGTCTGAGAACAGAGAGAAGCAAACCACAAAGCCACAGAGCTGCTTTTTGGAGTGGCCGATCTTTGCATGGAGCAGCCTGGGGGCATCCGGAGGAGAGGGGAATACCCGCTGTGAGCACAGGCATTTACAGGCTGCGGGACCCTTCTGGGATGCGAGAGATCTGGCAAAACCGAGAGCGCTGTGACATCTGCGAGACTTTGCCTTTGATGAGTCTCTTTGATGAGTCTTCTAATGCTGTGTTCATTTTCCTCTCTCCGGGAAACAGAGAGAGACGACAAAAGTCACTCGTCTTCTGCAGATTTCAAGGCTGCAGATTTGCCCTGGTGCTTCTGCCAGCTGCGAGGGGGGACGGGGACTTTGTGTCGGTTCTTTCTGCGGTTTATTCTGTCGTACGGTTTTTTCTGCTTTCAAAACGTAGGACTTGCCGCTGTAATGAAGCCATAGGAGGGTTCATAAGATGGTTTTATTTCCTTCTCATAACAGGGCTCAGTAATGTCACGAGTCACAGGACCTCGTGCAATGTAAAACATAATGTGAGTGTTTCCAACTGAGATTCAACTTTACTGGATCTCTCTGGTGTGTTTTAATGACGTTGTTTTGCACCAGACTTTGGGATAAGTGCTGATTCCTGGATATTACCAGTAAGTCATTTGAAGTCCAAAAGCAGGAATTAGACGTATCTTGCTTGGGAAACAAAAAGGAGGTAAAATTTTTGATGGGGAATAGGGGAAAGATAATTAATTTCCATAGTTCTGTGATCAGTTTCTAAAAAGAGCAGTAATAAAAACCTACCACCAGATGTCATCTTAGAGCCAACTAATAGCTCCCAAAACAGCAGAGACGAGGATACCGGGGAATTTTAAAGGGATAACGTTTAAAAAACCCCGTTGTTTTTTTTTAAGGGCTACAAAGTTGCAGGGATCACTGGACCCTGGCATGGTGAAGGACCCCGGAGATATTCCAGAGCTGACTTTGCAAAATCTTGCTGAGATAAATCCCAGCAAAATAGAAAGCATTGAAATTTAACCTTAAAAAAGTAAATTCGAGAGAAAAAAATCTTGTTAAAAACCTCTATTCTGAGACTCAATTCTGCTTGAATATTGAGATAAGAGACTGGTGAATCTGGGTACTTTCATCTGCTTTGTCACTCATTAAAATATGATGGATACAATAATATTTTTAAAATGGCTCAATTACCAAATATTTCCTGCACCTTGTGTTTCACCTGTCATTAGAATGGATGTTTGCAGGTGTTTGATACTTGACATTTGCAAGTGCGAGAAAATTTCCTGTGAAGGAAATCCTGGAGGAAATTAAGAAAACAAGACACTTTTTGCTCACACACAAAGTACTTTTAATCTGTTACCTGTGCAAAGGTGATTATATTTTTTGTAGTTAAACATATGGAGGAAGTTTCACTGTAGACTCTTCACTGAAATTCTGAGACTAAATTTAATCAAGACATTGCAGAATAGAGAGATTTTAACACAACTCTAAGAATAAGTCTCTGTTCAGTATTTATAGCTGGTGCTAATGTGTCCGACATCAAACTCCCTCAAGCACATTTTAGATCACGCAGAAAAGACTAGATGTAAAATTAATGATGAACGATAATGAGAAAACTTATTACTAATACGGCATGGCAAAGCTGAGTGACACATTCTTGTCCAAGACCCTTTTTAGTTACAACTCCTCTGTTTTTTAACTGTTTGGGATTCGGTTATTCTATCCAAAACTGCATAGTAAATGAACTTTGTTTGTTGAAGAGTTTCAGTAAAAATAGCTCAGCCTCTGCCAAAGATGAGGTCAGGGAAAAATCAGCCTCTCGCCAATGTAAAACAAAACCAAATCCTCATCACCACTGTTTAATGAGATGTTCTAGTCCTGCCATGCTTTGGAATGGATACTTGGAATCTGGCAATGCGTCGCAGCAGGAAGAAAGGTATTTTTCCATACCTGTTGCAGGCTGCCTACGCGTGCATAAGTGGTAATTTGAAAAATAACAGTTTGTATGTGAAAAATCGCAGGCTTATTTCATCTTGGCAGCCGAACCCCCGAATATCTGAGCTGGATTAAACAGGTTCCAGACGGGGACCGGGGGCGAGGCCGAGCCGTGTGACCGACACCAGGAGATGGGAAAAACGGGAAGACTAAACGCTGAAGTTGCAAGTCCTGGAGAAAGGAGGAGACCAGAGAAAGGGATGAGTCCTGTGGGAAACGTAGCAGGGGATGGGCAATTAGAGGCCATAACATCAGGGTTATCATCACGGAACCCAGCTGCGGTCACCGAGGGTCGCGTACGAAGGGCTCAAGGATGGGGCGGGGACGGGGAGCGGGACCGGGAACGGCCGCAGGTCCGGGACGTCCGAATGCCCGCCTCACTAACAGCTTCAGCCACTGCCGCTATCAACACACGGTGATTGGCTATCTGGCCCGTCCATCACTGCCGTTCCCGGTCTCCTACTGGCTAATTCTCTTATTTATGACCCGCCCCTAAGGGCTGACCAATGAGAGCGAGGCGCCCATAGCAACGCCCCCTCTTCTTCCTGCCGCTGCCTCTCGCGCGTCTCTCGGGAGTTGTTGTCGCTCCTGTGATTGCTCAGACTGCACGTCGCTCAAGCGCCCACGGCTAATTGGAAAGGGACACTCACGTGGACTACCTGCGAATCCCACCGCCCGGTTTCCTTTTTCCATTGGTCAAGAGGCACTGTCCATCACACTTCTCCTGGTGTCGATTGGCTGGCAGGGAGGGGCGGCTCCGGGCCGCTTCCCACCCCGGTGCTGTGGGCGGTGGCGCTGGTGAGGAGGAGGAGGAGGAGGAGGCGGAGCCGGCGGTCGCGGCCCCGGGTCCCGCAGCCGGGCTCCCGCCTCACATGGGGCCCCCGCGCCGGCCGCAGCGGCGGGGCGGACCCGCGCCGGGGTGCTGAGGGGCCGCGGGTGGGCGATGCGGCCATGAAAGCCCGCGCCGCCCGCGGGCCCTGCAGGCGCCGCCGCTCAGGTAACGGCCGGCGCGGGGGCGGCGCGGGGCAGGTCCGGGCGGGTCGGCAGCGGGGAGCGGGGCCGCTCCGGGGAAGGGGCTGCCTGCCGGCGGAGGGGTCTCACTGCGGTGAGGTGAGCGGGGCGTTCCGGGGACCAGGTGCGCCGAGGGGCCGCGTCCACGCCGGTGGCCGCAGGTGAGGGGCGGCGGGCGCTGCGGGAAAGCCGCGCTCTGATCCGGGGGCAAGGGTCTGGAAGCTCCCGGCGTGGATCTTTGCCCTGCCGGGATTGCCTTGGAAATGTTCGCTTTGCCAAGAGGCGTGAGGGCTTGGCTCGGGTTTTGCTGTTTAAGTGCTGCCCTGTAAGAGTAGGTGAATCATGCGTTAATGACAGGGTCCAGTGTTCAAGTATATGTGCGTGTATATTTGCTTTATAGCCTTCAGGTGAGGCGTGCTGTATAAATGTAGATGGTCGCTCTTGATGTTGTATTCCTTGGATGGTCGGAAGGGTTTTTGCTTCAAGTATGGGGGACTTTCCACTTGGGTGTTCCTGTAAGTGGTGCTGTAATAACTGAAAGCTACAATTTCAAGAGTAATGAATTGAATTTGAAGAGTACTGAGTTGAATTTTATTTAAACCTTTCTGTTTGCCCCTCTAAAAAAAGCAACAGCTAACATTTGGGCTAGTTTATGAGAAGCCTTTGTGCTTCGACTGTGGGTTTAGGTTTTTTTTAATAGAGATCAGAGTTCTAGCATATTTTATTGTCTGCAAAATCAACAGACTTACAGTTCCATGGACTTAATTAGGCCGTGGAATTTGCAACCTAAGATAAGATTTTTTTATGAGAAACTCTGACATGCCCTGTGGACTAGTCATAAACCTTTCCATTTAGTCATCATCCTTGGAAATTATTGCTGCATGCCAATAAAAATGTCATTTTCTGATTCTTGCAGAGTTCAGCTATAGACATGGCTGAGTAATTCAATTGTCCATTTTGGTTTGTGTAAAAGTTTCATGCAAAACAAGTAGTTTAAACTGAAAGCAAAAGTGTGTTCCCTATACCTGGTGGCAAGTGTGTGCTCTTGTGTGTTTTTACTTTGATTTGTTTTGTGGCTTTTCATTAGGATGAACAGCTGGCAGTGCTACCAAACACAAATTAGGGCCTGCAGAGCAATCCTTACTTCAGTTCTTCGTATCTTTGTGACTGTAGAATGACAGAGTTAGTTCAAAAGAGCTGCTCTGGTGGCACAGGCCTCCAGTAACCTAGTTATACCCTCTAATTCCAGATACTTGCTTTTGCCATTGTAATTCTTTATGCAAATGATTTCACAGACTCATGAAAGAAATACAGGGTTAAAGGAGGGGACTGTTGCTTCTGTGTGCTGCAGAAAAGAATGACGCTTGTGGTTCACTTGCATCATAGGTTCCCTTTCTGTATTTTTCCTGTAGCAGACAACCATGCATTTGCACAATGGCAAAGCTCTTTATTGTGTCCTTGCAGTGTGGCATCTTGCAAACTGGCACAAAAAAAAAAGAGCTCTGCTAGGCAAGATCAAAAAAAGGGCGATGTTCACAATTTTTTCTTAAAGCCCTTTTCCTGCTTATTAGTTCCCTAACCTACTCATTTGGAGCTGTGTATTCATCAGTAAGTCCATCTAATAATCAGCAACTGTATCACACTGGCTCCATCTGTTGTCTGTTGCCAAGTCTTCTTTCTGACTTAGATTGTAAGCTTCTTTTCATATGATCCTGTCACTTTTTGTTAAGTTGAACACATTGCTGGTAGTGGCTAAGCCACTTTCTGCTGTGATTGTCCTGTTGGTTGCACTGGAGAAATGTTGCAGCTTTTGCAGCCAGGAGTGGAGTTGGTTGAGATAACTTTGCTTTTGAAGGCTGACCTTGCATGCTCCAGGTCCGTAGCTCTCAGACTATGACTTACGTGTTTTCCGTGGTACAGGGAGCTTCAGATTGGTGTGTAAATACCAGCAAACATCAGTGTCTGCAGTACCTTAAGGGGTTTGGGAAATCCTGTTCTCACTTCAGAAAGACGTAGGTTAGTGAAGGCTGTGTTACTGGTCCGTTTGTGCAGCAGCTCCTGCAGTAAACAGGGTACTTGGTGTTTCACTGTAAGGTGAAACCAGTAACACAGGCTTGTGCTTAGTAAGGGTAGGCTACAGAAAGTGTCTTAAATATTGTGGAGATGATAGTTTTAGCTGGAAAATACGAATATTGACTGCCTTGCGTGGTGATGCATAAATATAGGATTGTGTCCAAGAGATGTCGGTGAGGTATGAAATTCAGCCTGTTTACTTTGTCTTCATCCCTCTTTCAGGCATTCGTGTTCTCTTTGCTTTGCTGTTCTGGATTGTCTCACTGGCTGCGTTAAAACAACAAAAGTTGTTTCCAGTCTCTTGTGAAAGCCTCAGTGCTAATAGAGCTGTCAGCCCTCTGCAAACCCAGCAGAGAGGCTGGGGGGGAAATTCCTAGATTGAGATGTTAAAATACCTGTTGGTATTAGAAGGCTTTGATCCCCTTTCTTTTTGTTAAGAGCTCAGCAAATGTCAGCCTGCTGACACCTGGAAGGCATGAGCAGCTTCTCGCTGTCTCTACTGGCTGTTTTGTTAACCAAACATAATGTATTGAAATTATCCATTTGAAGCAGCAGCTGTGTCTTGTACATGATCTACTTGAGTGGTTATTTAACTCTAACGATGCTCTGTAACCAGGCTAGAGCCTGTCTGCACTGTGGGTTGGAGTGACTGAAACCAGGCTAGGAGAGGAATGAATTGTTGAAGGTCCTTAGTAGAGCTTTAGTTTTGTGTTGTAATAGGACCCTAGAAAATGCTGATAATTACACTGTGGGCATAAGGATCAAGTAGTTTTCTTTCTTTGTGAGTTCTGTTATATTTGCCTTCTAAATATGTGCTAGAATTTATGCCTATGCCTGATGAAAATATTTTTAAACCTACAGCCTTGGCCCTGAATCCTGAGCTCTGCAGTAATAGCTGGTCTCTCTTACTCGTTTCAAACTTGGCTACAGTCGCAAAATAAATGAACTGTTTGTTTCAGCTTAGCCTCTCGTGGAGGTTTGTTTGCATTATAAAACCATGATGCAGTTCAGCAGACTTCCAGTTTCTGGAGTGGTGTAGTAGGGCTAATGCAGGTCTCTTCTGAGAATGTCAGTCCTAGTTTGCAGGAAGCTTATGCTGTGATAGTACTGTCTAGAGCTGGCAATTATCCTGTACAGGGGAGATGAAATTGAAGCAGAATGTCATGTAAGTGAAAATAGAAAATACTGGGATTTTCATGTTCAAAGGCAGTGTTGTAAGTAAGATTATAAACTGACTCTAAAGGCTTGTCCCATAAAGTAGTCAAAAAAGACTTCAGGTTCAGGATGAGCTGGTCCAAACATAGCCCAAACTCTTGTATTTGTAGCTATCTCATCTGTAAATATTTGATTTTGTCTTCCTCTCAAGGACAAGAAGCTAACTTATGGATATACCAAAGAACTTTCCTCTGTTAGGGGAGCAGGTGACAGGAGCTGAGAACAAAATTATTGAGTGCCTGGTTCTCTTTACCTGTTTAGTTTAAATTTGTGGGTTTCATTTTTAAACATTTTTCCCTTGTTTCTATTTCTTTCCTCCAAACTAAGAACCTCAGTCAATTCAGTCTTTGGAAAAGTTTGTTCTTTACATTTCTTTGAAGCCCTTCTGAAATTTGCACAGTACTACAGTGAAGTCTTCTTCCCCCTTGAGTTATTATTTTGTTGAGTGACACTTGCCAGCATAATTCCTCTAATTCCTTTATGTTTTTGTAGTGCTGGCTGTTGAAGTTTCGTCAGACTACAAGTTTAAATAGTTAACTCTTGGCAAATGACTTTTGTCAAAGCTTTGGCATCTTGTTCCTCAGAAAAAATCCTTTTCAAATTAATAACATGCGTCTGCCAGATTTATTGCTTTCCAGGCTGAGTGCCTAGCGATGGTCTCTGTGTCTAAAAATGGTTGTTGTTATTAGGGCCATCTTTTAGGAAATTGTGAGTTTGACATTTGAATGCAAATAGGCACATATTTATAAAGATGCTGGGGACAGAAAACCTCTTAGTAATGAGTTGAAATGTTTTTTGGAAGGATTTTTTTTATACTCTGAGGCGTAGAAGGGATGCTGCTGAATTTGAGGAGCCTTCCCCATTTTTATATCTATGAAATATAAAATGTTAATTACTGGCTAATATATACCACTTGTTAGTTTGGCAGGATGTTTAGGGTATAACTTGATATGCTATTGTGGGGTTTGTCTTTAAATAATTACAGGCTCAGGCATTGGTTTTAAAAGGTAAATCTCTAATTAACCAAATTAATGCTGATAGTAGTTATAGTAATTTCTATGAATTAAAAAAATGCATTCATTCAGTGAAGAAATTGATCTTAATATAATATTAATAGGATTTTTTTTTTCTTCAAGGTGTGTTTTGGTAAGCCAAGAAATTAAAATGTAGTAGGGCATGAAACATTCTGAAATTGTGCTTCTTAGAAATGTAAGAAATAGCTGAATAGGGCAGATACGTATTTTGAGAGGTGAATTTCAGAATTACTTTGGTCTTGGCAGAGTGGGGTGCATTTTTCTTGTATAGGGATGTCAGAAAAATTGTTCTGAAAACTGAGAATTTATTAGGAAATGTTTTTCAAGTGTTTAGTGTCTTTTAGCAGTTCTTTGAGCACAGCTTAAGAGTTTTAAAGCTGAACCTTAATATGAAAAAAACCACCCAACAACCTTTTAGTTGGTTACAGGACAGTCTTAGATTCTGTTCAGTGCACTTTAATTAACCATACAAAGTAGTAAATTAAAGTACCTCAGACTGACTTGACAGTCAATTAAACCTTGGTTGATTTCATTGAGAATGTGATCATTAGTGTAATTGGCCAAAATGACAGGAGGCCCACTTGGAATTGTGCCCACTTGAAATTTTCCTCTAATTCTGTGTATGCAATCCTGGGCAAGGTAATGGAGCTGTGTCCTAATAATTTCCAAGAATTTTGTGTAACTGTCTGGAAAGGTAAACTCTAGCAGGCAAAAATGAAGGAATGGGTTACTTGGGAATCCAGATGGCAGAACCTTTTGGAGTTTATTTTGTGTGAGGTACATTGAACCTCTTTTCTCACTGTGGAATTTATACAGAGTTTTGCAAAGTTCACCATGTGATTTCAATCAAAAGGATGTGTATATGTGTGAGGGACTTTTTGTGCTATGTTAAATAGATGTAGAAACTGTGTTGAGGCCATCTTCTGTTAATGGTATCTGGATACTTAAGAGATTTAGGCTTTTCCTCCTGTTTAATACTGCTTATCTAACTTGGTCTATCTTCCTCTGTTAACTCAACAGCACTCTTTCCGATTTTCTTTTTCATTTTTGTCTTGCTTTGCATGAGAGCTTCTAGTCTTTAGTTTGCAGGGTTGCAGTGTACATATTTTTTTGCTGGATTTATTTGGGGATTGCACTTTCTGTGGAAACAACCCTGTGATACTAGGTTAAGTTTGTGCATTTCTGGGGGCAAATGCTTGCCTCCTTCCCTGGAAAGTGTCTGGTGCATGTGAGTGCTACTTTGATGGAAATAAGTTCTAAAAAATTGTTCCTTCAGTTACAGTAGGTTTTCTGGTCAGTCTTCAAAGGTAGCATCTTCTGATTAAAAAAATTAATTGTTAATACCATGGCTTCCTCTGTCTGCTCTCCTTCCATAGTTCTTTCTTTATCTCCTTGAAAAGTAACCAAAATATAGCTTGTCCTTTTCAGATCAAAAGGAATTATTTAAGCAGGCCTTGGAAGCTCCCAGGCATCTTGTCTGTAGCTGAGGAGGTTCTCTGGGCTATTTTTCTCCATTGAGGGCATGCCTTTTCCAGACCCTCAAGGCTCCTGAGTTAAGAACATGAGATCAGAAACTGGATCCTGATCTCCTGTGTACCAGTTGGCCACTGTCATCTAAAAAGTGCAGTAAGATCAGGCATGTGGGAGTCTGCATACAAAATTCTGTAGGAAAACCATGGCGTGGGATAATTCATAATCATGCCTTGGTAAGAGTCCCCTGTACCCACTGACATCCATTTAGAGAGGTCTTAAGATGTTTGAGATAAACACTCTTCGTATTTGGAGTGGACAACCTCAAATTAACTCCAGACAGTTCAACAGAGCTTATTTCTGACAGCAGAGAAGGACTATGTGTTTGCCTGATGTGTTGGCACAGAGCATCTCTGAAAGATTCACTGCATGCAAAGCATGGGTATAGCAGCACTGCTGTGTTTTTAGGGGACAGCTGGTGTGCCTCTGTTTTTGTGACGCTTTTCTAATGTAGTGCATTGTTCAGGTTCTGTACATCTTTGTAAATGGAAGTGTAATTGCCTGCCCTGTGGTTATTTTGCCCACCTCTTTAAAAATTATTTTATTGTTTCCTTCCCCTCCCTCTAGTTTTTTCTTTACCCTTGGGGAAAAAAAGAGTATCCTCTTTGTGACTGTTCACATTATTCAGGCTTTGTAGGTGCTCAGCAAATTGCTGTAAATGAGCAGTGAAGTTTGGAATAGATAAACCTCCTAAGTCTAAGGTTTAAAGAAAAAAAAAATTAGGCTACCTGCCAAGTTTGCCAGTCCAAGCTGAATTTGATGGGCTCCAGAGTCATCCTCATTACTTCATCATCATCTTAAAAAGAGTAAAAATTCTTGGTCTCCCTCCCTTTTTTCCCCCATTTCTCCTTCTTGGCAAATGAAGCTTGTTTCCTGTGTTTTCAGCTGAACTGAAATTAATATAGCTTTAAAAAATATCTTTGTGGGGAAAATTTGTCTGGCAGATTGTTACTGTTTTTATAAATTTAGGGGCTAGATGTTCAGTGTATATAACCTTGTATTCCTACCAGGTAAGGAATTGGTCTTCGAACACTCATAAGTGGAAGCTTTAAAAACAAGGTTTTGACACTTCAAGTGAATAACTTTCCTTATGTCAATTGAAAACTGATCTATATTTTCTTTATAGTTGGAGATCCCTCCTTCACTCCCCAAAGTGAAATTGTTTCTTGCAGTAGCAGTAGATTGGTCACCCAGCTGCAACGTTTTGTGAGCTTCCTCCTGCGTGGTTGCTTGCTGTAGCAACCAGAATTTAAGTAAAAAAAAGAAAGGACTGGGGGGAAGGAATGAAAGTTATTTGTTTCCAGTTACATTTTGAGTTCCAAGACTATTTGTCTCAGAATAGCCAGAGCATAAAGTATTTCCGTGAATATGAAGGACAAGTTCATTAGGTTACTGTCTACTGTTGATGTTGTGTGTTTGGTTTGTTTTATTGCTTTGTTTTTTTTGCCCCTGCTTGGACATCTTTGTTCTTTTCTTACTCTCTTAAACTGATGTATGCTTTCTTGTCAAACTTGCTAGATATCTTCACAATAATGGTAATCTCAATTTCTTGTATTTTAGGATCCACCCAGAGTAGAGAAGACAGCAAATTACCTAAGATGTGAGAAGCCCTCCCGTAGTGAAATAAAATCTTGTTTTCAAAATGGACCGAAGTAAGCGGAATTCAATAGCAGGATTTCCACCACGCCTGGAGCGCACTGAAGACTTTGATGGTGGCACTGGAGAAGGGACTGCATCCCAGCTAGGAAGAGTTTGTACCTCTTCATACAGAGCCCTGATAAGTGCCTTTTCCAGACTTACTCGTCTTGATGACTTCACATGTGAGAAAATTGGCTCTGGTTTCTTCTCTGAGGTGTTCAAGGTGTGTGTTTAGTTTTTTCTGCTCAGTGTTGATTGCTTCATGTTTGGTGATGGGAATATACAAGACTGTCAACCAAAATACTTCCACTGGAATCAAATGATAGTCCTTGTGTTTGCTTCACTCAAACTGAGTGAGGGGTGAAGAACTTTCAGGCTCCAAATATTTCTTCTATCACTCTTTCAGCTGTTTTGTCACTTGTAATTTATTTGAGGAGTTGCAGAGCCTTTTGGGAGAGAGAGAAAAAACTGAAAATAATTGGTTTATTTTTTGACCTCTGCCATGTACTTTTGCATTCATGTAGTGTTAAACACTGATGACTGTTAGTTCTCCCATATGTAAATGTCTTTAATTTAGCTGATTTATTGGTTTTGTGGGATGATACACATTCCTTTGGTAGTCTTTGCCTCACAGCACTTAGATGCATGTGTTAAGGAGTTCCATACATGGTTGCTGTATTTGGAACCACAGATTTTATTGCACTGAAATTTCAATACAATTAACTGCTCTTCTCTGTTTCCTTTGCTGCTTATGCCACACTTCTAACTCAAATAATCAGAGTTGGGTTTGAAGTAAATAATATGAGTGGGAGACTCTGATGTTGTCAGTGGCTTGCTGCTATGAATGTGGGATGTGGAGAAGACCTCTTAAAGCAACTTATCAAACACAGTTTTATAGTGCTGGTAGTATTTCTGCTGCTCTGACTGTTCTGGTAAGGTTTATTGTAGAGAAGCAGGACATTGAGTTGTCTTTCAGGCATTGACAAAATAATTTGTTTCCTTGTTCTAGTTGCTGACTTCACTTGAGGTTACCCTCCACTGTTTCCATTTCAGTGAAATGCCGGAAAGCTATCTTACAGTATATTATATCCATTCCATGCCAACTCATGTGTTGTTTTTTTCTTGAAGTTAAACCAAAAACATTTTATTCAGTTTTGTTGCTATAAATAGATACCTGCATTAGAAAATGGAAATTTTTATTGCTTTAATACCCAAAGGCATTGAGATCTCCATGTATATATCTCCTCTTGTATTAAGGCAAGTCACTCCACAGAAGTTTTTGTGTTTAGCTAGATATATGAAATCTTAGTTTTCACTAACACAAGTTTTTAATTCTTTCAAATGGGTAGACATGAAGAACTTTATTGAGGGTATGTAGGAGATTTGGTGCAGGACATTTCTTTATAAAGCCAGCTTTTGTAACAGTTGTAAACAAGGGTTTGTTTGGCGGTTTTTGTTTGGTTGGGTTTTGTCTTATTTCCCTGTTTGGAAAACTTCCTGTAATGCATTTTGTAGCAACTGGTTTTGTGTGGAGACATTTTCTAATGTTAAATGTTTTAAAGTTCTGTATGTAACTGGAATTCATCATTACAGCTTCTATGGTGAAATTGCTGTGCCATGTATTAAGGTACCAATAGACTTGGGTCATACCTAAATAACTAGGAAATAACAGACCTTGGTTTACTTGTGAGAATTTCAGAAGTCAGGTGGAGGGAAAAAGGTAGCTAAAAGTAAAGATGAATTTCCAGCATTCATAGTAATTGATTAATTTGAGAATTTGTTGATTGAGAGAAATCCCTGATACCCAGTTTATTTTAATGTGCATAAACAAGTCCTCTAATTCTTTAAAAACCTTCCCCTGCTATTCTCCTTTGCAGTGAGACATCCCAAGGTGTTGGATAGAGTTGGTGGCATTACTGTAAGAGTGATGGTGGTAGTCTGAATATCTGGTGTCTGTTTTCACAGAAACAACCACAGTCCCCCTGCAGGCAGACACTGAGTGATAAACTCTTCTTTTGCATCAGTTTCGACCAGAGCTCTGCAGTTCTGGTGTGAACGGGTGAGAATGCATTACAGCTTTATCACAGGTGCAGTTCCAAACTCATTTGAGCAGTTTTCTGTTCTGCTGCTTTATCAACCTGACCACCTCTGTCATTAATCCTACTGTGCTGATTATCAGATTTCATGTGAGAACCTTGATGTGCTTCAAGTAAGGAGAGTCTTGTGGCCTGACACAGTTAAATTTCAGTCTGATCTGCAGGCTCACATCTAAATGATTGAAGTTGAGAGAAATCCAGGATAGTTCTAAACTTACTGTGTAAGTAATTTTACAAGAGCAATGAAGCCTTCCCTTTAAATCATCAAAGGTGTCCAAAACTCACGTCTCCAGAGCTTTTTCAATAATGTATTTGTCTATTGTTTTGTATCATACATTGGGTTCACTCAAGTGATTTAACAAAGAATGCTTGGACTGTTTTAAGGGTTTGGGATTTTTGTTTTGCTATGTAGCTAATAATTTTTTTCAGTGATTTTTTTTTTTCTCCTCCATCCTTTTCTGTGGAAACTCCTTTTAAAATATTGTCTGTTGTGGTGAAGTTGCCTTCTCTTGTGATAAGTATGTTACGGTTCAGATGTGTGTGTTAATGGTCATGTATGCTATTAATAATCTTTTAACATTTCTAGTGCACATTTATTCATAAACATACTAAAATCTGTGGTTTATTCAGAACAGAGTATTAAACTAGTGTTTTGATTTTGTTAGCCATCACTATAACACTTCAAATTCATGTTCACGTGAATACTAGATGTTACAGAAACTAGTTTAGAAAAACTGAACTTTGTCAAAATATCAGCAATCTAGTTTAAAGCAGCTGACTGACTAGTGCTTGTTCTAAATTTCAGTGGCAAGTGCAGCACTCTGGGGTTTGCTTTTAACATAGAGCTGGGCAGAGACTGTTTGTATAAATAAAAAGCCATGATCCCAAACCCTTAAACTGCTAATTGGGAAAACCAGCTGATGAAGCTGTAAGGAACTGTGGGGGAATCCAAGCATTATACTGAAATCAAGTATTATATTAGGAAATAGTTACTATTAATTATAAAATGTTTGTTTTGGAACAGCAGTCAGACTAAAATCCAGGATGGTCTTCTATTCACATTTACCTTCAGGTTCAAGGCCAGTACTTAGCATTCAAGTTGCTGTGAATTTCCTTCAGGCATTCTTTTTGTCTCTACATTCTGTAGCTGAACTTTTGAGAGAGACTGGAAATACTTGTGACATTCCAGTGTTAAAAGTGGAATTCTTGCAGTTTATTTTGTGTATACATGAAAACAGGAGTCATTGATCCAATGTAGAATTGTGCAAGGCCAAGTATAAATACAAAGTGAGGGTGTCATACTTTTGGATGTCTTAACGCGATGAGTGGTGAGTGCAAAAGGTTCAGTATGGTCAGGGTATTTGTGCTTATACTGTGAGGCCTCCTGTTGAATACCCTGTAGTGATGGTCCTCAATTCATTAATTAGTTGTTAGTCTTTATTTGTGTGGTCAAATTAATGTTCTGTGACTTTCAAAAGTGCTGACAGATGAGGAAAGGTGTGCCTGTCCAAATATGTACCTTGTACCTGAGGCTAGGATCCTGTTTCTAGTATTTATTTAATGTCTTCAGAGTGTTTAAAGATAAGCAGCATCCAACTGTCTAATGTGAAAGGAGAAACGAGGCTGGAGTTGTGCTCGAGGTACTGTGAAGAACACATATGTGTTATGCTTTTTATCAAGTACTTGTAATGCACTTAAGATGAAAGTGGTAGTTTGGTTATCTCTAAACATACAAATCATAAATGATACTAGGTAGTGTATAATTTATGATATTGTGTCTCATGGGCACATTGTCATGGTGGTGGGCTTGATCTCTGGAACATCTTGTTCTAGACTGTGGGAGGTTTAAGAGATATTCCTGATCTGGCTTTCCCAAAGTGACTCAATGGGAAGTTTGGGGGTTTTTTTTTGTACTTTATGGCTTCATTACCATTCAGATTAACATTTCTGTCTGTGTTTGTCTGTAATTTTGCAGGCCTTGGGGAGTCTAGTGCAGAAATGTTTAGTGTCACTTTCTTCTGTTGCCTCTGACCTAGGTTTGACAGGACTTGCTAACTAGAATAACAGTGCAGAGTAGGAACAGAGCAGTAGAGTAAGTAAAGGATTAACTCACTAGGTTTCAGACCCAAAAGTTATGAGAGGTCTCTTGACCAAAAAAAGTGTCTTGATGGGCATGAATATCCTGTATCCTGTTCTACATTGCCTGTTATGTCTCACAGCTGAACTCTGTCTAAAAATAAAGGCATTATGAACTTCTCAAACAGTTAAGGCTTGGAAGATTTCCTGGGTCACCTACACACTCTGCCACATCACCTAAGGTCTTTGAATTTTACCAGTAACTGGAACTTTGTCTAGAGCATATTTTAACTCCACATACAGCAAAGCTATGCCTCTCTTGCTGTTTTTTAAATTCGGTTCTAAGTTGAAGATCTCAAAGACAATCCCATGCCCTAGTTTTCACAACAATAGCATGTAAAAACCATCCTTCAGCTTTGTGTCACACTCTCATAATGTTAATGTGCTTAATGCACATCACTTGTTGCTATCATGGCACATTAGTACCTTATGTTTAATGGGTGTGGACCTCCTGTTCTGTAGACTTCAATCCTTATTTGCAATGAAGGTTTTCATTTGGGTAAGTTGATTTTTGCTCAGATATTTAAGCTATGAAGCGGCCTTCACTACTTATTGAAATAACATGAACAGTGTAATGGTCCAAACTTAAAAGTTTGAGATAGTTCCAAGTGGCAGCTTCTGTCAGGAGGAAGACAATGCAGAACATTGAGTTAGAGGAGACCTCACTGGGTTCCTGAGAAAGCTCCCTGAGGAGACTCCCCTGTCTTGCCCTGCTTTGTCATGTCCGAGTGTATCTTCAGCTGTCCTGGGCCAGCTGTAACCTGGTTGTAGTCACTTGTGGCACGGAGTAGGATGCCTTAGAGAAGTCTATGTATGTTGCTATTGCAAAACGTGTGTACATTTTGCTTAATCTATCTTATTACCTAAATTGAAAATTAATGTAAATTTAGACTGAGATGTTATGAGAATTACTACAGTATCCTTTGCTAAGCCAGGTATTTCTGCTCTGTTCTTGGCAGCTACTTTTGGCTTGTCCTTTAAACTTTCATTA